CTCTCTCTCTCTCTCTCTCTCTCTCTCTCTCTCTCTCTCTCTCTCTCTCTGTGTGTGTGTGTGTGTGTGTGTGTGTATATATATGACTTTCCCTTAATCACTGAATAGTAGTAGAGTTTAGATTCTTTAGGGATGTTATTATCATGCTAGTGAAAAATACTATACTGTGTTACAAAATGGTTATTTAATTCATTCAAAATAAGAGGACTGATTTTATTCTTTTCCATAGTAAGTTTTAGGTGCTCTGATTTGTCTGTCTTCTTGAGACAGGGCCTCATATTTTCCAAGCTGGTCTCCAACTTACTGTACCTTTGCCAAGGAAGTCCTGGACTTCCTGTCCTGCTCTTACTTCATAGGTGCCGGCTGCAGGCGCGCACTACCATGCCAGCCTTTTGTTTCTTACTTACTTTGAGTCAAGGTCTCACTGTGGCTCACAACTTTGAACTTGCTATATTCCTCGTTCCTCAGCTTCTCAGATGCTGTAATTATAGGTATGCCTTCCCACTCCAGCTTGCCTTAATTTTCATATTATTAAAAATCATTTGTTGTCAGGCATAGTGGCACACATCTTTAATTCTAGCACTTGAGAAGCAGAGGCAAGTAGATCTCTTGAGTTCAAAGCTAACCTGGGCTACATAGTAGTAAGAACCCCATCTCAAAAAAAAAAAACCCTTGTTTACTTAGGTTTATGTTTTCGCTTTTTTCTTTGGTTGGTATTCTGCATTTGTGTGTGGGTTTATATGGATGCAGATATTCATGTGAGTATATGGATATGTGTTGGGGGTGAGCAGATGTCCATGTGGAGGATGGAGGTCTACAACAGATGTTAGCTGCTCTCCGCTCCTTTTGAGACAGGGTCTTGTGTAGAACCTAATGTTTGCCGGGTGGTGGTGGCGCAAGCCTTTAATCCCAGCACTTGGGAGGCAGAGGCAGGTGGATTTCTGAGTTCGAGGGCAGCATGGTCTACAGAGTGAGTTCCAGGACAGCCAGGGCTGCACAGAGAAACCCTGTCTCAAAAAACAAAAACAAAAACAAAAAAAAAGAACTTAGCTAGATTAACTGGCCAGTGAGCTCCAGAGTCTACAAGGATTCACTTTCTACCTCATACCCTCTCCCTTCTCTGTGCTGACATGATACACTAGCTTTTACTTGGGTGCAAGGAATTCTTCTTTATGCTCTCCTGGCAGTTGTTTTACCAATTGAGGCATTTTCATAGCCCTCCATTTCTTTGCTATTTTTTTTTTTTAATTTTTCAGACATGTTTGTGGCAGATTTCTTCTGAGAAGGGTTTCTTTGATATTTAAAGAAATGTATCAAAAGTAAAGGTTATTTAAAACAAAAGCAAAGGCTAGAGTGGTGATACACTCCTGTTATTCCCATCATTTTGGATGAGGATCAGTTTGAGACCACCCTGGGCTATACAAGACCTTGTCTCAAAAAAAGGAAGAAAGGTAAACATTTTATATTAAATTATGGTCAATTTCTGACTAATTGATACATGTGTGTACAGGTGACTTCATTATCTGGAGGAGATACTATCAAGAACTCAACTAGGGGTATGTCTTTAGATTCTTTACATTTTGCCAATGATTTTTGCTTTTTCAGAGAATTAAGACTCTGTTTCAATGTAGGGTCACTGAATCCTGAAAATCCTGTTCAAGTAAGCATGGATCACTTAACGGCAGCAATTTATGATCTTCTCAGGCTCCATGCAAATTCTAGTAAGAGTTCTACAGGCTGTCCCCAAAGTAGCAGGAACGTCAAGGAAGCATGGACTGCAACAGAGCAGCTCCAGTTCACTGTCTATGCCGCACACGGAATTTCCAGCAGCTGGGTATCAAAGTAAGTAACTGCTTAAAGGACATTCACATCTTTACCCACAGGCTATACTAACTTAGTGTTAGTAACTACTTTTGTCTTTTTTGTTCAAATCAACAATTCAGAGAACACTTTGTGGTTTCAATAAAATTACAGAGCTATCTGAAGTAATTGTAGTGAAAAACGTCATTTTTATGACATGAAAAAAAGAGCAAGAGAGCCAGGTGTGATGGTGCACACCTTTAATCTCAGCCCTCAGGAGGCAGAGGCAGGCATATATCTAAGTTCAAACCCAGCCTGGTCTACAAAGCTAGTTCCGGGACAGCCAGGGCAACATAGAGATACCCTGTCTCATAAAACAACAACAAAACCCAGGAAAATACATAGTGAAACTGACAAACAAAAATGTTATTTAAAAGAATTACCTCAAGATTGCTAAGCTTTTCTGCCTTTCTTTTAGCATCAACGTAATTTGAAACAAAATGTAATGGGACTAGAATTCAGGCCCTATATCCCTTCAATAGCTCATAGTCTACTAACTGTTAATATTTGAATTCTATAAGAGCATATTTCTTCTTACTAAAGTTTTTATAAGGGTTGTCCTCTTGATTTCTTTTGTTAAAATCTTTAAGGCATAGCATTTTTTACTTTACTTTGAAATAACTAATATAAATTGAAAAGTGTAAAATTAATATTTTATTGAAATATGTTCGTGATGGCTTAAAAGATTCAATAAAATAAAGTCTAGTGAAGAGTTAACAATTCCACTTGAGCTGGGCGGTGATGGCGCACGCCTTTAATCCCAGCACTTGCGAGATAGAGGCAGGCGGATTTCTGAGTTCGAGGCCAGCCTGGTCTACAGAGTGAGTTCCAGGACGGCCAGGGCTATACAGAGAAATCCTGTCTTGAAAAACAAACAAACAAACAAAAACACACAAAAAAACCAAACAAACAAACAAAAAAAAACAATTCCACTTGAATTGAGCTTCAATTAAATTCAATTGAATTGAAATGATGGAGTGTTTTTGTTGTAGTTTTCAAACCGGGTCTCTGTGTAGTCCTGGCAGTTCTGGAATTTGCTATGTAGCCTTGAACTCACAAAGATCTACCTTCTCTGCCTCCTAAGTGCTGGACTAAACATGTGTACCACGATTACCAGCTGAAAGTCGTTTTGTTAAGTCATAAAGTAAGTGTTTACTGAGCCCCATCTATAAGCAGAGTTTTCAGTATCGGAAATTCAGTAACAAACAAGAGAACAATGCCTTTCTGGAGCTTTCATTTAAATGGCTATTACTGCCTGTTTCTTTTTGTCTGTCTTGTTATTGAAATGATTTCTCACTACATTGTTCAGGCTGGTCTCATCTTCATTGGCTGAATTATCCTTTCACTGTGGCCTTTTAAGTAGTAGAATTACAGGTGTGTTCCAAAATGCCCAGCTAAAAACATGGCAAACAAATTGTGTTGATTTTTTTAGCTTGTGTTTTCTTTTGTTCATTGGAGTTCCATGTAGGAGGACCCACATAGTAGGAGAACCAACTCCCATCCTTTAACCTCCATACACACAGCTTCATGGGCTCAAACACACTCTAAAGAAATGTAATGAAAAAACCTTTCTTTTTTTTCTTTTGATACAGGGTTTCCCTGTAGCCCCTGCTGTTCAGGAACTCTCTGTGTTGATCAGGCTGGCCTCAGACTTACAGAGATCCACATGCCTCTGCCTCCCAAGGGCTGGGATTAAAGGTGTGCACCATCACTGCCCAAAATAACTTTAAGTTATAGATTTAGGTGGGCATGACATGCATTCCTTTGCTCCTAGTACCTGGGAGGTGGAGACAGAAGAATGAGAAGTCTCCAAGAACAACCACCACACTACCTATTCACACCCAGAAGCAGCTGTGGATATGAGTAGAATGATTAGCATGCATGTAAACCTAGAAGTAAGTTAGAATAGAAACAGAATACAGTTTTATTGAGTCCAAGGTTCTTAGAAGATTGTCTTATTGTGTCTGTATGAACAGCAATTTAGAACTAAGTCATTGCTATTTAGTGAAAGAATACAGCAGTACCTGTGAAGATCAGCCAAATTGTTTGGTCTGTGTATTGTTAAATAATGCTTAGCTGAGTATTTCAGTGGTGTAGCAAAGGAAAGTAGCATCAGCATCTCCACTACTGCTAAGAAAGAAACCAAAAAAAAAAAAAAAAAAAAAAGAACAAACCTCAACATAAAGCAGGAATGTAATGGAAGTAACACCAAGGGAAGATAATGTTGGTAATTCTTGGATTTTAACTAGAGATGGATAAACACATAGTCTCTTATCATTCATCTGTGCTCCAGCACAGTACCTGAAACAGCTTATATCTATGGGGATCATTGTAGTCCCAGCACCCCCAGCCCCAGACTGACACTTGGGTTATATGCTTCCCTCTCTACTTATTTTGTTACACCATTTCTCTGTTTCTGTAGAATTTGCAAAAGTTAAATTTCACATGGATTTCAAAAAACAAAAGGTGATCATTTTTGTCACTTGGGAAAAACTGCTAATGTATTTGTGTTCGTTACATAATTATTACCAACCTATAAATCAAATTAAGCTTTCTTTTCTCAGTTATGAAAAATACTACTTGATATGCTCCCTGTCTCACAATGGGAAGGATCTTTTTAAACCCATTCAGTCAAAGAAGGTTGGCACGTACAAGAATTTCTTCTATCTTATTAAATGGGATGAACTGTAAGTGGAGTTTTTTACTTTTATAATTAATTCAATGTACCCTGTTCTGTAATTTTTCCAATGTATACATTATTATGATCACCATTGAAATTCAGTAAATTCTTACTAATAGCTTGATATCTTCTACACAAAATATTGTAAGATAAAATGTGATTGCTGGGCAGTGGTGGCACATGCCTTTAATCCAGTACTTTGGAGACAGAGGCAGGCGGATTTCTGAGTTCGAGGCCAGCCTGGTCAACAGAGTGAGTTCCAGGACAGCCAGGGCTACACAGAGAAACCCTGTCTCGAAAAACCAAAAAAAAAAAAAAAAAAAAAAAAAAAAGATAAATTGTGATTAAAAATTTTAAAGTACTCCTTTAAATATCTGTTTTAAAATTGCAATAGTATAGTGTTATTTCTTTGTAGACTTTGTCATGTCAAAGATAAAAATTTACACAGAACTCTAGAAATGATATTTTATAAACTGCTTGCTTAAGTTTTTATTATATAATACCATACAAGAATCCAGATCTTAATACTCAAGCTGAATCTTAAGTTTATGTACATGATAGTATTCTATATTAATTTTTGTAAATACTTTTTTAACTAAGGGAATTTGTCACTATTTAAGTGAATGGCTAGTTGTAGAACTAAGGTCTAATTTTATTTTGCCTAATTATCAAACTGCCTATCTTTAAGTACTTAGACATTTTTACAGAAAGAATTGTTACATTTTTGAAGTTTTATACTGATAATGAGATTTAAGATGTAACATTACAAGTTAGCCATATTGCTGCTTAGCTAAAAGTTACTCAGAACTAGATTGTTTTATAAGTGAAATAAAACACCTAAAATTATCAATCTTCATTAAAAGTTTATTAAGCCTTACTTATAATCTGGTTTTGTTCTTAACATCAACAGATTTTTTTTCTGCCCCACAGAATCATTTTTCCTATCCAGATATCGCAGTTGCCATTAGAGTCAGTTCTTCATCTTACTCTGTTTGGAGTTCTAAATCAGAGCAGTGGAAATTCCCCTGATTCTAATAAACAGAGAAAGGGGCCAGAAGCTCTGGGCAAAGTTTCTTTAACTCTATTTGACTTTAAACGGTGAGTATTACTGAATTGTGATAGTGAGTTCTGTGACACACTGTACATCAAAAACAGACTGGAGGTCGGGATGGAAGCAATGACAGATGTGAGCTGTGAGCTAGACAAGCAGCCTCTCTGCTGTAGTTTCTCTCAGTGTAATCTGGTGAATGTGCCAAGGATTGCTTGTCACTCATTAATCCCGGAGAAAAGAAGCAGTAGCCAAAGACTGTTATTTCTGTAAAGTATATTATGGCACAATGCAATGGCTCTATCAGGTCTCTTGATACTAAAAGAAATCTTATTTTTCTCATATTTCCCACCCTTCTCCATTTTCAGAGATGGAATAGGATTAAACAGTTCCAACTCACTGGCCAGTCCTTAGTGTTAGGAGCCCTTGATCTAAGAGTTTTAAATATCTCTCTTGGGGACAGTAACCTATATGTGTATCTGAAGTTCCAAGTACAACCATGATTGCCATTCATCCACCTGAATCTGAGGCACAGGGTCTCTGATTGGCTGGCCAGTGAGCTCCAGGAACCTACCTGTGTCCGTTACTCTCAACACTGAGATTGCAAATATACACTGGCATACCTGGCTTCTTAATATGAGTTCTGGAGATCAGACGCAGATCATGCCTGTAGAGCAAGCACTTACCAACCAAACCATCTCCTCAGCCCTGCAATTGTTTAATTTTTGAGAATACAAAAAGTAAGATCATTTGTAAGAGCAGCAAGTACTCTGAACTTCTGAGCCTTCTCTATCCTTTATTTATACATTCATACACAAAAAGTTTTAAAGATTAATCTTGGAGAAAAAGACCTTTTTTAATTTATCAAGTATGTAACTAAGTGTTTTAAATAATTGATAGTTTGGGGTAAGGATCAACATAGGTCATAAATCCCACTTTTAAAAAAAACATTCAGTTATAGAGTGAGTGTGTGTGAGTGTGTGTGTGTGTGTGTGTGTGTGTGTGTGTGTGTGTGTGTGTGTGTCAGAAGACAGTTTGCAGGAGTCAGTTTTCTTCTTCCACAGTATGGTTTTGGAATTGATTACAAGTTGTCAGTTTTAAGAATCAGAGCCCCTACATGCTAAGACATCTTACCAACCCCACTTCCTATTTTTATGACTGTATTTTGTTACAATATATCATTACAACATACTTGTTCATATATTATTCTTAACTACTTTATATGACTATAGCCAAATGAAGACTTTGCAACAGAGACTGCTATAGCTGAAATTATAAATCTGTGCTATCATATCCAGCCTTGTAAATGCATTTATTCATTTATACTTATTTTATGTATGTGAACATTTTGCCTGCAAGGATGTCTGTATACTATGTACATGCATAGTAACCACAGAGATCAGAAGAAAGTATTGGACTTCCTAGAACTAGAGTTATGGGCAGTTGTGAGCCACTGTGTGAATGCTGGGAATTAAACCTGGGTACTCTTCAAGAGTAACAAGTGCTATTAACTACTGAGACAAATCTCTAGCCCCCATTTTTATTGTTTTTAGGCAGGAAATCACTATGTAGCTATCCCAAACTTAAGGTTCTGCCCCAACCTCCTGAATACTGAGATTGCAAATATGTAATAGGCTCCTAAATATTTATTGTCTTGCCTTTTAGAGAAAAAAAAATGTACTGAGGGGTGCTTAAATATAATTTACCTCAAATAAGTTGTGCTTCAGTGGCAAAGCAGTTACTGATTCTCTTGGCTTTTTATTCTAATGGTAAAAATCAGGGTGCAGTTCTGTAATTTAAACCATGATCCTGAAGTCCTGGTCTCTGGAGAAAACTTGGAAGGAGTTGTTGGGTTTTTTTGTTTTGTTCTTTTACCTTTCTGTTTGCATAATGGTATTAGACAACAGTTGCTGTCTTTATACCTTCTGTGCTCTCTTCTCAATGCCTTTCTTTCTTTCTTTCTTTCTTTCTTTCTTTCTTTCTTTCTTTCTTTCTTTTTTTTTTTTTGGTTTTTGGTTTTTGGTTTTTCGAGACAGGGTTTCTCTGTGTAGCCCTGACTGTCCTGGAACTCACTCTGTAGACCAGGCTGGCCTCGAACTCAGAAATCCGCCTGCCTCTGCCTCCCAAGTGCTGGGATTAAAGGTGTGCGCCACCAAAGCCCAGCAATGCCATTCTTTCAAGATGCATTTTTATTCTCCCTTTCCCTGTTCCCACCCCACACTTTTTCATCTAACTTCTCAGTACAATGTAGTAGCTGCCTCCTTCCAATGTATTCTTTAAAACTATACTGTTCTTACTAACATTCCAAGTTGATTATCATGATGTTCTGTGGGTTTGGGATTTTTAAAATGAAAGTCACAGTATTCTTTTATGTTCATTAAGGTTTTTAACATGTGGAACTAAGCTTCTCTACCTTTGGACTTCATCACATACAAATTCTATTCCTGGAGCAATCCCCAAAAAAAGCTATGTCATGGAAAGAATTGTACTACAGGTAATGGTAGTTCTTAATACATACATGGAGGGCTTAAATGTGAATGTCTTTGTAAAAAGTGTATATTCCATAACTTGGATTGTTAAAGAAGTCTAATTAATTTTGTTTTAATCTCAGAATCTCTCTTTAAGTGTTAATAAAACCATTTCCAGTTTCTGAGAGAGTAAAACATGCTGGGTTTTGTTTTTTTTTTGTTTTTGTTTTTGTTTTTTTTTTTGGTTTTTGGTTTTTGGTTTTTCGAGACAGGGTTTCTCTATGTAGCCCTGGCTATCCTGGAACTCATTCTGTAGACCAGGCTGGCCTCGAACTCAGAAATCCTCCTGCCTCTGCCTCCCAAGTGTTGGGATTAAAGGTGTGCACCACCACCGCCCGGCAAATATGCTGTGTTTATCCCAAGAAATATAAACATGCTTTTGAGACTGATGAACTGTTGTTGGTAATCACTATCAACCAGAAGAAAAAAAGCACTAGCTTTATACTTAATATAAATGTATCTAGATTGTTATGAAAAATCACTTTCCTGAAAGACAAAGATACTAATATGGAAAATTTGGATTATAATTTGAGTGATTTTTGCCAGGCAGAGGTGGAACATGCCCTTAATCCCAGGCTTTGGGGGCTGGAGAGATGGCTCAGTGGTTAAGAGCACTGGCTGCTCTTCCAGAGGTCCTGAGTTCAATTCCCAGCAACCACATGGTGGCTCACAACCATCTGTAATGGGATCCAATGCCCTCTTCTAGTGTGTCTGACAGCTACAGTATACTCATATAAAAAAATAAAATAAATTTAAAAAAAAAAGAGAGAGACAATTCTCCTGCTGGGCAGTGGTGGCACACGCCTTTAATCCCAGCACTTGGGAGGCAGAGGCAGGCAGATTTCTGAGTTCGAGGCCAGCCTGGTCTACAGAGTGAGTTCCAGGACAGCCAGGGCTACACAGTGAAACCTTGTCTCGAAAAACAAAAAAAAAGGAAGAAAAAATCCCAGGACTCAGGAGGCAGAGGTAAGCAGATCTCTGGATTTAAGGTCAGCCTGGTCTGCAGAATGAGTTCTAGTACAGCCAGGAATACATAGAGAAATTCTGTCTTTGAGAAAACAAAGAATCAAAAAACCAAATACACAACACAATTCTTTTTTTCACTAATTTCTGTTAATTTTTTCAGGTTGATTTTCCTTCTCCTGCATTTGACATTATTTATACATCTCCTCAAATTGATAGAAACATTATACAGCAATACAAGTTGGAAACACTGGAGAATGATATAAAGGGGAAACTTCTGGATATTATTCACAGAGATTCATCATTTGGGTATGCTTTGTTTATTACTTTCTTGGCACTCCCTTGTGATGTAACACTAAGATTAAGGCCTGTGTTACAGCCTCTGATTTAGAAATTGTCTTGATATGGAGCAGGCCATATGGGACTCGGAGTGCAGAATGATCCCAACAGTGCCGGCGGAAGACTGGCTAGATACAAATCAGGGGGATGTATAAATCTTGAAGTCTTTTTAATTGTTTAGTTTTAAAATTATTTCTGTAACTCATGTGTCTGTGTGTGCCCATGTGTAGAGAGGTCTACATGGGGTCTCTTCTTCTCTGTCTCTTTAACTCATTTTGGAGACAGACTTTTACTGAACCTGGAGCTCACCTCTTGGCTAGGCTGGCTGGCCACAGACTTTAGGGAATCCTCCCTGTCTCTTCATTCCCAATGCTGGGGTTGCAAATGCACACTGCCACACCAAATTTATATGTTAATGCTAAGGATCTGATCTCAGGTGGCAATGTTTCCACAGCAGGTACTTTTTCTACTGAACTATTTACCCAGATCCATTTTTACTGTATTTGTGTACATGTATGTGCATATAGAGTATAGAAATCAACATTAAATATCTTCCTTAATCACTCTCCACCTTATTTTTGAGACAAGGTCAGTGACTGAATCTGGAGCTTGCCAGCAAGTTGAATAGACTGACTGGCCATCAGGCCCTAAGGATCTTCTTGTCTCCACCTTTATCACCCAGATGCTTTAAAACAAAACAAAATACAGCACATGAGTTCTGGGAATTGAATTTAAGTACTTATGCTTGCATAGCAAGCACTTTCCCATCTTCCAGTCCTTCTTGTATTATTAAAGGCAAACGGGCTGAGAGATATATTTCTAATACATATTAGTTGACTAATTTGCTTAACCTATAAAGAATCTTTCATGGGCTGACAAGGTGGTACAGCAGATAAAAGTGCTTTCCAGTCAAGCCTGGCCACCTGAGTTGAATCCTATAGCCCACATAAAGGTGAAAGGAAAACACAGATTCCAAATGTTGTCATCTCACTGCCATGCATGCTCTATGACATATGTGCCCAAGCATGCATTGTACACACACACACACACAGCCAATAAATTTTTAAAAGGGCCTTTTCATGTTAAATGATGAATAGCTAAGTAGTAACAAAAAGGAGATGAACAAGACAAGCCCTTAAAAATGAGATATAATTAATACAATGTAGTATCTTACATCCAAGTAGCAAAAATTTATAATCATCATCCTATGAAGCTAAGTTGAAAATATATATACACACAAAGAATGAGAGAGAATTATTTTATTAGCAGGATATTTAAAGGCCATTTTGGAGAGCACTTTGACGAAATCTGTAGATGTCATAATACGTATACACTGCAACCCAGCAATGCTGCTTCCTATCATAAAGAAAATCCTCCTATATTTCTGTATTGAAGTGTGAATGTTCTTTGTAATATTTATTTGCATTGCCACCTGATGGTTGATGTCCACTGATGGAAATTCAGTTATCCAGTTAACAACAATGACTATTTATAGCCATATATACTAGTATGTGATCCAGTAAATGGAGAAACCAAGCAGCAGGCTAGGATAGTGATATCATCAATACAGAAAAAATAAGATCTAAAACACACCCATGTGGATACTTCTGTATGAATAGACCATCTCTGGAAGTATAGCATACTGTCCTAGTCCACTTCTCCCTCGGGGTAGCCAGGCCCTTTGTGCACTGGGCTGGACTGGGTGATGCAGGCAGGATCTTGGTCAACAGTGAGTTCATGGACAAAGAACACACACCCAGGAACAGCTTTGGAGAACTAATTCAGTTTATTTTTTGGGGGGGGGAGATAGAGACTATTTAAACTTTTGAGGGGTGGGTAGGGGCTATCAAGATGAATGTGCATCATTTGCCACAGCTAAGTATGCCTCCTCTGCATGAAGAGGAATTCCTGGTGCTGCTGGACATGACCTTATAAGAGGAAAGGAAAGTTTAATCTGGCTGCCGGCTTTGTGACCTCCTCTCAGGAGGCAAAGGTGGGGAGCACAGGGCTACGTTGACCAGGACATACAGGCCCTGGGAAGTAGGATAGAGAATCCTACTCCTTCAGATTTCACAAAAAGAATTCTGGAGTTTGGACATGCTCAATCCCACTCTTGTTCCAGGTCTGCTTTCCTAGTCCCAAGGCTCCCTGGCCTCATAATAACAGATGCTTGTCTGTAGAAGAATTAGGAAGATACCTGTCTTAATTAAAGTTACTATTGCTGTAAAACACCATGATCAAAGCAACGTGGGGAGGAAAGTGTTTATTGGACTCACACTTCCACAGCACTGTTCATCATTGAAAGAAATCAAGACAAGAACTCAAACGAACAGGAGCCTGGAGGCAGGAGCTGATGCAGAGGCCATGGAGGGATGCTGCTTACTGCCTTGATCCTCATGACTTGCTCAACCTGCCTTCTTATAGAACCTAGGACCACCAGCCCAGAGATGGCACCACTCAGAGTTTGGCTGGGCCCTCCCTCTGTCCATTATCATTACTTAAGAAAATGTGTGGGCTTGTCTGCATTTTCAGTTAAAAGTTCCATCCTCTCAGATAACTGCAGTTTGTGTTAAGTTGACCTAAAACTAGCCACCGCAACTTACATGCTTATCATATTCCTTGCTGTCTTATAGGATGAGCTCTGCTTGTTTAACTCTCGCTTTGTACTGCTTGGCATCTCCCTTTATTGCAGTTTCCCTGTATTTTAACAAATATGGCACTTTTGTCAAGGCAGAATGATTTTCATCTCCAAATGAAGGTAGATTAGTGATGTTTGCTGTACATTGAATATTTCTCTTTGATATTAGTGTTAGTACTATTAAGAGGTGACTCACAAATGAATACATTTCTTCTTTAAATTTTTAATTATTGAGATAATTATATCATAATTCTACTGAGAAGTAATTTAATTCTATTATATATGCAGACTTTCAAAAGAAGATAAGGTCTTTTTGTGGGAAAAACGCTATTATTGCCTAAAACATCCAAATTGTCTTCCGAAGATACTAGCAAGTGCTCCTAACTGGAAGTGGGCTAATCTTGCCAAAACTTACTCACTGCTGCACCAGTGGCCACCATTGTGTCCACTAGCTGCATTGGAGCTCCTTGATGCAAAGTAAGTCAAATACATTTATTTGTTGTTTTATTGTCAAATTTTAAATCGATGTGTTATGCTGCAGGGGTACTTCCCTTTTAACATGAAAACAGAATAAAAATGTAAATTTGTATATGTAATTTATATAAACTTAATTTTTTTTCATTAAAATGGTCAAGAAAGCATTTTGTGTCATTTAAAACTTAACCTAAAGAAAGAATTAAATAGCTAATTTTGAATAATAATTTTTTATTATATAATTTATAAAAAAATTTTTTTCAAGACAGGGTTTCTCTGTGTAGCTGTGGCTGTCTTAGAATTCAATTTGTAGACCAGGCTGGCCTCGAATTCATAAAGATCTAAATTTATAATTATTAATAATTAATATTTTATTATAGAGACAAAATTTGTTTTTATGAAGCTAAAGTTTTGCAATAATCTGGGACTAGAATCTGTATTTAGACAGTGTTTTTCCTACTTTAGTAAAAAGAAAGGTATTGAGGGGAGGATAGGAGGGCAAGAGAACACATGTGATATACAAGCAGAAGGGGAAGTGGAGATTTGTGAGGTGGGTGGTGGCGGCACACACCTTTAATCCTAGTGCTTGGGATACAGAGGCAGGCAGATCTCTTGAGTTTGAGGCTAACCTAGTCTACAGAAGGACAGGACAATCAGGGCTACACAGAGAAACACAAAAAACAAAAAAATAAAAACACAAAACAAAGTGGAGACTGTGGGAGAGATTCAACCAGAACTAAGTATGTATAAAAATTCCATTAGGAACTTGCTGTGTAGATTAGGCTAGCCTAGACTCAGAGGTTGGCTTGCCTCTGCCTCCTAAGAGCTGAATTTAAAGGTATGTACTGCCACACTAGCACATTGGTTTTGAATAAGAGCCATTTGAATATTCTTTCTTAGGAACAGACTAAAATTGTGTTTTCAGTTAATACAGCTGTATTAGGAAGAAATTACTGTTAAATCTCAATTTTTCTGATATTCTAGATTTGCTGATCAAGAAGTGCGATCGCTAGCTGTGAGCTGGGTAGAGGCCATAAGTGATGATGAGCTAGCAGATCTTCTCCCACAGTTTGTACAGGTAGGAGTTTTTACTAGGCTACCTTGCTTCCTACTCACCCACTCTAGTTCCAGTGGGTAGGGAAGGACTATGGGACCCGTTTTCTATTTTAAAATACCAATACAGGAGAGCAGAAATGCTGAGGACACTGTGAGAATGTAGTAGAAAGCTTCTGCTAGACAAGCCTTTTACCACTGAGCTATAAAGCCTAGCGGCTTCATTTCTATAAATATCTTTTCACCAATGAGTAATATTTCATCTACATATTTAATGCTTTTATCTGAACAATTTAATATGGTTTGACTCCTAATAACACTTATTTCCTCTTACACATAGGCTTTGAAATATGAAATTTATTTGAATAGTTCACTAGTGCGCTTCCTTCTGTCCAGGGCTTTGGGAAACATCCAGATAGCACACAGTTTGTATTGGTAAGATTTAAACTGTATCAAGTGCCTTCTTTCTTTTGCAGATATTGACAGAGTTGTCATAATCATTAAATATAAACACTGTGCTCATGATGCTTACTGTGGATAACCAAATGCGTAGTGAATCTGTTATTTTACAGAACCTAACATTTTAGTCTTTAAAAATAAAACCAAAATTAATAAAATTTGACAATATTTGAACATTATGGCTTTATAATAACTAATGAACCTTTTCTTGCTTATATGACTTTATTTTCTAGATATACAAAATAGATCTTGTTAAATTGATCCTTGCAGGAACTTCATCTAGTTCACAGAAGTGACTGACATATATATTTTTGTTGCATTAGGCTTCTCAAGGATGCTTTGCATGATACACACTTTGGAAGCAGATATGAACATGTGTTGGGTGCACTCCTCTCTGTAGGAGGAAAAGGACTCAGAGAAGAGCTTTCTAAGCAGATGAAACTTGTACAGCTTTTAGGAGGAGTGGCAGAAAAAGTAAGGCAGGCTAGTGGATCAACCAGACAGGTATGTACCCGTCAAAGAAAACACAAGTATTCTTTGGGGGTCAGAGTAGGGGAGATCTCTCTACATACCCAGGCAAGCTGGCCCCTGTATCTTCTTGATTCAGCCTCCTCAGTGCTGGGATTGCAGATGCTTGCTACCTCACTTGGGCAGTTGCTATTTTTTAAATTTAATATTTTTATTGATTATTTGGAAATTTCACATAATGCACCCTGATCCCGTTCACTTCCCAGTACTTCTAGGTCTACCCCAACTCTTATGATCTCCCCCAAGACACGGGGAGTGGAGAGGGGGAGGAGGAGGAAGAAGAGGAAGAGGAAAAACAAACAAACAAGCCCAAGTCAATTTGTGTTGTCCCATATGTTCACTGAAGCATGGTCAAACTCCCAGTGGCCAGCCTTTTAAAGAAAACTGATTCTGTCCCCTACCCCAACCCCTCCAGAAGCCATCAACTGAAAGAGCCTATACTTCAGCAGCCTTATCACAATTTTTAAGAATTCTCTTCTCACTTGGGCAGTTGAAGTTTTAGTAAGAACTATGTTGAATCTATAGACTAATTTGGAAATACTTTGATGGGAATGTGTATGTGTCTATCTATCTATCTATCATCTATCTAATTGGTTTTGGGGGGGGACAGGGTCTCCCTATAATCCCTGACTATCTTTGAACTCAGTGGGTTGACCAGGCTGGTCTCAAAATCACAGAGATCTGCCTCCCAGTGCTGGGTTAAAGGTGTGCACCACTACACCCAGCCCTAATAATGTATCTTAATTCTTGAACTCAGCTTGTCTTGTGTCATGAACACAAGGTAGAATGTTTATTTAGATGTTCTTAGATTCTTTCAAAAATTGTTCTTGTTTTTGTTTTGTGTTTTTGAAAATGGCTCTTTTCACTTTATCTTGGAGAATTTTTGTCAGCACATACAGAATACTGAATCTAAATACTTCAGATTCAGTAAATACATAATGTCACAAAGTATTTAGAACATGATTTCTGAGCCTCCATGTACATTGTTTATATATTTTTGCTTTCCCATGTAATGCTGCTATGAACATTATTGAATACATCTTTACCTAACCTCTAATATTTCTTATTTCTTTCGTTTTATGTTTTGAAAGGATGACATCTTACTATGTTCCCAGGCTGGTCTCAGACTCTTAAGTTATCTCAGTTTCAGTCTCCCCAGTAGTTCACTGTGTAGATATATGTCTCTGATTCAGGCATGCTTTTGTTTCTTTTTTTTTTTTTTTTTTTTGGTTTTTCGAGACAGGTTTTCTCTGTATAGTCCTGATGTCCAGGCTGGCCTCAAACTCAGAAATCCACCTGCCTCTGCCTCCCAAGTGCTGGGATTAAAGGCGTGCGCCACCACCGCCCAGCATGCTTATATTTCTTTATGGGATATTTCTATGGACAAAATAGTCCGGTTAAGAGCTATATACATTTTTAACTATAATGACTTCTGTTAGAATCTTGTTTTCTCTAAAAAGCTAAACCTCCCTGGGCATGATGGCACATGCCTTTAATCCCAGAACTTGAGAGAGATAGGCAGGTCTCTGTGAGTTCCAGGCCAGCCAGGGATATATAGTGAGACCCCCACACCCATGACCCCACATCCTGTGTATATGGATGTTACTAATTAGACTTAACGAATTGTATAGGAAAAAAAAGAGAGTTTGTGATGTTAGGAGGGAGATGTATTAGGGGATGTAGGAAGAGGTGGATATGAGCAATACATAGAAGAAAATTTCAAAGAACAGATTCTTAGTGCTGGAAGGTGGCATTGTCAGTAAAGTACTTGGAGCGCAATCTTGAATTTACCCACGTAAAAAGGCAGCAGAGTGGTACCCACCTGAAATCTCAGTGCTGGGGAAGCTGGAAGCAAAGACAAGAAAGAGGATCTCTGGGGCTCATTAGCCAGCTAGCCTAGCCTAATCAGTAAGTTCCAGGTTCAGTGAGAGACTGTCCAGAAATACTAAGCATTAACCTGTGGCCTCATGAGTAGGCACATACATGAACATACTCAGAGTGAATAGGTCTTCATTTTCATGATGTACTTACAGAGAAACTCTCGTCCACAGGTGGTCCTCCAGAAGAGTATGGAACGGGTACAGTCTTTTTTTCTGAAAAATAAATGCCGTCTTCCTCTCAAACCAAGTCTGGTGGCAAAAGAATTAAACATTAAGGTAACACAACACTCTTACGTTTAACTACACTTCACAGTAATGCACAAAAAGAGAGTTGCTTCATGTGAGTGTGAGTAAGACGTGTAGTTTGTAAGTACATAGGAAAGGGTGGTGTTAGGTGTATTTTCAGCATATTTTTACCTAATCAGTATTCCTTAAAACATAGTGTCAGAATTTTTTTTTTTAATATTTTGGATTTTGTTTGTATTCTTAAATTAGGGTTGCGGTCTTACATTAGCTTTTTGGTAAGTTTTCTTTTAAGGTGAAATTTTTGTAGAGCATTTGTCTATATGTGCAAAGCCCTATATGTGCAATCTCCAGCCCCACAAAAAATTAGGTGAAATGTGATTTGACCTTTTCTGTGAAACTATTAAAGTGTTGATATTTGATTACATAAGTAATGAATCTCACCAGTACATATGTGAAAGTGGAGCTGTTCTAGATCAGAGTAGGAGTCACACAATTGTGTGCTCTGTTGAGAGATTCAGATACTTTAAAGTTCAGGTGATGAAAGATTTATTGCACCAGATTTTAAATTTTTGTCATTTCTGCCTTTCTAGTGAAGCTATTTTACTGCTATCTACTATGTTTAAATTTTATTTACATATATTATTGGCAGATCATATAAATGCTAGTTAACAACCATTGTATGATTTGCTGTAATTCAGAGCAGATGAAAAGGAAAGACATCAGGGACAATAAATTCATAATTCACTTTTATGCTAGTGTTAACCTTTCTAATGCTCAGTGTTGTGTTCGCAGTCATGTTCGTTCTTCAGTTCTAATGCGATGCCTCTGAAAGTCACAATGGTAAATGCTGATCCTCTGGGGGAAGAAATTAATGTCATGTTTAAGGTGAGAAGACTAGAGTTATTCTTTGGTTTTTGTCTCTTGGATTTCTTTGAGGGGGGGATGCATTTGATTTGGTTTTGAAATGAGGTCTCTATATAACCCTGGCTGTCCTGGAACTTGCTATGTAGACCAGTCTGGAATTGAATTTAGCAGTTATCTCCTCATTTCCACCTCCTGAGTGCTGGCATTAAAGGTGTGTGCCACCATACTAGGCCAGAAGAGGGCACCAGATCACATTATAGATGATTATGAGCCACCACATGGTTGCTGGGAATTGAACTAAGGACCTCTAGAAGAGCATCCAGTGTCTTAATCTCTGAGCCATCTCTCTAGTCCATAATGTGTGCACTTTTTAAAAAGAAAGAATGGAGAGTTCTGGTTAATTAAGTTGATTAATTGGAGGTTCACAAAGACAGCTTAAATTGAACCTTCTTTGATAGATACAAGTTTCTGTTTATTTTACTGATATTGGTGCCTTTTTCTAAAACAATACCATCTGTGTTAATTATAGACATTTTAGAATTTGTCTCAATATTTGTTAAGGCAAATCTCCCTTAATCTTTTTCATAGTTTTCATGGGTAGCCTCAAAAATATATTTATAATTGTTCATGTTAAAATTATGTTATTCAGCCAGGTATTGTCCATATACTGAATTCCAGGTATCCAGAGCCAAAGGCAGAGTTCAAGGCCAATCTCATCAGTATAGCCAGTTCCAAGTCAGCCAGGGCTGCAGAGTGAGACTCTGTCTCAGAGGATAGTAATAATAAAAATGTTCTGTGGTCCAGTTCTTAAAAGAAAATTGAAATGCTGACATTCCAGTTAAACCTCCTCATTTGGGAAGACTATTATTTAGATTTTACTCATTGTATGTGCATGAATGTTTGGGTGTGCGTACATGCATGCTGGTACCCTCTAAGATCAGAAGAGGGCATTGGCTCTTCTGGAACAGGAGTTATAGACAGTTGTGAGCCACTGTGTGTGTGAGTGTGTGTGTGTGTGTGTGTGTGTGTGTGTGTGTGTGTGTGTGTGTCTATGTATGAATGAATGTATGTGCTGGATACTGAACCTAGGTCCTCTGAAAGACCAACAAGTGACCTTAACCTCGGTGTTACCTCTCCAGCCCCAAGAAGACTGATATTTTTAAGTGACCTTTTATTTTAAGTGATTGTAGATTGATTGACCATTATAATTCTTGGTGACATATAACTGTAATGTGATGTTATATTCAGAATATTAGCAGTGATGTAGCCTAGAAACTATCATAAGATCCCTATGATCTCCTTTTTTGGTTTTTGGGGTTTGTTGTTGTTTTTCTAGGCAGGGTTTCTGTACGTAGCCCTGGCTATCCTGGAATTTACTCTGTAGGCCAGGCTGACATTGAACTTTGAGATCTCAGTGTCTCTGCCTCACAAGTGCTGGGAGTAAAGGTGTATTCTGCTTCCTTTTATTTTTTAATTAAAGATATTTTTTTAAAGATTTATTTATTTATTATTTATGAATACACTGTAGCTGTCTTCAGACATACCAGAAGAGGGCATCAGATCTCATTACAGATGGTTGTGAGCCACCATGTGGTTGTTGGGATTTGAACTCAGGACCTCTGGAAGTGCAGTCAGTGCTCTTAACCACTGAGCCATCTCTCCAGCCCTAAAGATATTTTTTACATACTCTAAAATTCAACTTTTTAAATGTACTGTTGAGTAGAGTGTAGCTCAGTGGTAGAGTACTTGCCTAGTGTACACAAGACCAAAGACTCAGTTCCCAGCACCTCAAAATTAATTAATTAAAACAAAATTCACTCTTTGTGAAATGGAGACAGAAAGAGTTTTAAGTAAGTTTCTCTAGGAAAGTACAGTACAGCTCTGATAATCCCTTCTCTGTACACTCCCTTCCAAACGCCCCTCAGATCTTGCAGCATGTAACAAGTGCTTGGGGAAAGGTGTAATTTTTATTCCCTTAATTTCGAGGTTGGTGAAGATCTTCGGCAAGATATGTTAGCTTTACAGATGATAAAGATTATGGATAAGATCTGGCTTAAAGAGGGACTGGATCTAAGGATGGTGATATTCAAATGCCTTTCAACTGGACGAGATCGAGGTAGGTTTTTTAGTTGGGTCTTGATTTCTTTGTCTCATGAAGGTAGTTTACTTTTGAACTTGCTTGTGTTGTATACTTATAGGTCCTGCTGCATGCTTACTGGGGTCTCAGTTATTTAAATCCAGTGTTACTTATTGGTTGGACTATTTATAATTAAATACTTTTAAAACAACTATAAGGCATTTAGTATAAATACTAATAAAACAGCTCAGTAAGTAGTCTTAATAAATACTTTGTATTAACCAGAAGTGTAGAACAATTGACCCAATAAGCAATTCATTTACTTAAGCCAATTTTGGGTTTATTTCCACAGAAATACCAATAATGGGTTTGGTTTTTTGTTTTGTTTTGTTTTTGTTTGTTTGTTTGGTTGGTTGGTTGGTTGGTTTTTGTAGATTTTTATTTTGTTATTCAGTTGATAGTTTTTTCAGTTTTACTTTGTTATTTATGTGTTTTGGAGACTAGGCACACATATATGGAGTACAGAGAACAACGTTCAAGAGTCAGTTCTCAGCTGGGTGGCGGTGGCAGCACACACCTGTAATCCTAGCACTTGGGAGGCAGGGGCAGGGAAATCTCTGAGTTGAAAACCAACCTAGTCTACAGAATTAGTTCCAGAACAGCCAGGGATATACAGAGAAACCTTGTCTCGAAAAACCAAAAAGGAGAAAAAAAAAAGTTCTTTTTCTTTCTTCTGTGGATTCTAGGGATTGAACTCAAAAGCTAGCATGGTAGCATGGCGGGCACTTTTAATCACTGAGCCGTCTCATTCAGTCCTCAATTGAATACATTATGTGATAGATATTACATGTTCATCAAGAGACACCATTGTTCTTAATCAGTGAACATTCGTTAGATACCTACCACATGAACAGCATATACACACAACATTCATAATTCAATCATTACATTTTAGATACTCTTTTATATTTTATTTTTCATTTATTTCTCTGGATGAGGGTTAAAGGTGTGCAACTCCACCACCACCCGACATTTTTTTTTCTTCCTTTATTTTTATGTATATGGGTTTGTTTGTTTTTTTAAAAGAATTTTTTTATGTATTTGAGTGTCTTAAGACACACCAGAAGAGAGCAACAGATCCCATTCCAGATGTGAACCACCACGTAGTTGCTGGGAATTGAACTCAAGACCTCTGGAAAAGTAATCAGTGCTCTTAACTGCTGAACCACCTCTCCAAGCCACCTCTCCAAGGGTGTTTTACTAGCATGTATGTTTGTGCACCATGTGAGTGCTTAGTCCTTGGTGCTTTTGGATGCCACAAGGGGACATCAGATCTCCTGCCACTGGGGTTACAGATAATTGTGACGTGTAAGTGCTGACATTCAAACCTGGTTCCTCAGGAAGAGAAGTCAGTAGTACTCTTAACTGCTCAGCCATTTCTCTAGACCTTGGATGCTTTTAAAAAGTAAGATAATTTTGGCTGCTCATATTTTTCAGTATGACCTGTCCGATTTGGTATCTTATTTCAAGATTGAAAGGTATGAATATTTTTAAAACTTACTGTGGGGACAAATTTTCACATAGCTTGATATTTTGTTAAAGGCATGGTGGAGCTAGTTCCTGCTTCAGATACCCTCAGGAAAATCCAAGTAGAGTATGGTGTAACAGGATCCTTTAAAGATAAACCACTTGCTGAGTGGCTGAGGAAATACAATCCTTCTGAAGAAGAATATGAAAAGGTGATCAGTATGTTTCTTTATTCTAAAGAACTATCAGAATATATTTTATAAAGGCTATTAATGCTTAAGAGCTGTTATAATGTTAATATGGCTTAAGGAAGACTCATAATCACTTTGAATGGCATCCTAAAAAGACTCCAGTTTTGTTTTGCTTCAGTAAGTGTTTTTATTAGCTTATGAAGAATTATCTTTCAGTATGGCATTTTCAAAAAATAAAATTGATTTTGTGTTTGTCTGCCCTATCTTATTGTCCCTTGTGCCCTCTATTTGAAAAGATTTATGTCATTTAGCCGCCTAATTTAGGTACCATTTATGTGTCATTTTTATAGTCATTAAAGTGCTATCTGTTGACCTGTGGAAATAAAGCAAGCAAAATTTGTACATTGTGCATCTTTTAGAGTAGTTTAGTTAGACCACTCCCTTTTTAAAATTCTTTTTGATAGGGTGTCTCTACGTAGGCCCTGGCTGTCCTGGAACTAACTGTGTAAGCCCTTAAACTCACAACTCATGAAGTTCTGCCTTCCTCTGTCTCCCTAGAGCTGGGATTAACGGCCAACATATTAATTCTTTGTAGTCTTGGAAAGCAATATGGTAGAAGATGATATTTCTTCATTTTAATATTTCTGATAAAATGATGGCTCAAAGAGATTGTTGAACAGCATGCACTAAGCACCTTCTTTCCATTTGACTAAGAAGGAATGCAGCAAAGTGGAGTCCTGTTGCCTGTGTTGGATTCTGTCGTTCCCACCTGCAATTACATGATCTTGACAAACACTGAAGTCCTGTTATAGCTTAGTTTCACTTGCCTGTAAAATGGCACAAATCTTAATACCTACGTTACTGGTTTATGGTGTTTTTTTAGTAAGTAGTTGTAAATAGATTGGTGTTAAATGTTATATAAACATTTTGCTGTTATCATTATTAACAATGGTTTCTAGAGGATTATAAAATAAAATTAACCACAAAGACCAATAGAAATCCAGTATTTTGCTAGTATTAGCATTATGGTGCAAACTTGTAGTCCCAGTCTTCAGAGGTTCAGACAAGAGGATACAAACCCTATCTGAAAAAGAAGAAAACAATCACAGTATTTTAAGAATCAATATGTATGCTTTAAAATATGATGTGTATCTTATATGCTGTATATCCTTCTGTGTTATGTTAGTAATCCCTGGAATAGTAAGGCTAACTAAGTGTATGCTCTGTGTGTGCTGGCATGAACCCAGAAAAGAGTGTCAGATCTCTAATTAGAGTTACAGGCAATTGGGAGCTACCTGTTCTTAGTGCTTGGAATCAAATTCAGATCTTCAGGAAGAACAAGCACTTGCAACTGCTGAGCCATATCTGCAGCTCTGAGCTAACTTTCTTTACATATGTTCTCTATACTAGTAGAGAGGAAAATTATATTGATGTAGGTTAAAAATTAGGTTTTCTATCCTGGATATTGAACCCAGAGTTTTGTGCAGTCTAGGCATGCACAAGATTAATTTTGTCCCCTCAATAACAACAATGTCCTCATCTACAAACATGATACTTAAAAGCTGGTCATGAGCCATTCGAGTTTTTTGTTGTTGTTTTTCAAGGGACAGATTTCTCTGTCCCTGGGTGTCCAGGAAATCGCTCTGTAGACCAGGCTGGCCTCAAACTGAGAGATATGCCTGGGATTAAAGGTATGCACCACTACTGTCCAGTTTATACTATTTAAGTAGACACTGGCAGGACCCATATCTGTTCAAAGACAGAAGCTAAAGAGATGCAGCAGTAACTACGTTTTGGAAGGGCACTTAGTTTCTGAAATATGAAAAGATTGGCTATTATTCCCATAGCTCAGTTTGTATGCTGATGCTCTTAAGAGACGTTTTTAGTAGTTTCATACCTTTAAAATTTTTTGTCCTTGCATTTTTTGAGATAGGATCTTATTCTAACTGTCCTGAAACTCATAGCAATCCTCCTGCTTCTATTTCTTGAGTGCTGAGATTATAAATAAGAGCTACCATACCCAGCTTTCCAGATATTGTTTTTAAAGAGTGATGGATTGGACCTAATGTAGTGGTACGTTCCTTTAATCTCAACACTCAGAAGGCAGAGGCAGGTAGGTCTATGTGAGTTTGAGGACAGCAAGGGCTACATAGTAAAACCCTATGGAAAAAAAAAAAGTGATAGATTACTACTGCACACTGGCAAACCTTGCCTCACCTTGCCTCCTTTAAGGCATTTTTTTTTTCTAACATAATCTTATGTCTTTGTTACAGGCTTCTGAGAACTTTATCTACTCTTGTGCTGGGTGCTGTGTAGCCACCTATGTTTTAGGCATTTGTGATCGGCATAATGACAATATAATGCTTCGAAGCACAGGACACATGTTCCACATTGACTTTGGAAAGTTTTTAGGCCATGCACAGATGTTTGGTAGCTTCAAAAGGTACTAATGTTCTTATTACTATCACTGAAGGTACATGTCCCAGGCCTTGTTCTTGCTGTGCTTTGCATTGTGTCTCTTTTTGAACATAACTGGGAATGAAAAGGCCTTAAGAGATGAAAAGGCCTTAAGAGATGATCTTACCACACAATAGACAAAACCAGTTTGCATCTAAACTTTGTTGAAGTAAATGGACATGTATTCTGTTTAATCTAGTTCATGGTGTCTGCTACAAATGGTTCTGTTTGTATAATCGTAATGAGTATAAATTCTCTGCATATTTTTGTAACCACTGTTTTTTTTTTGTTTGTTTTGTTTTTTTGGGTTTTTGTTTGTTTTGTTTTTTTGTTTTGTTTTGTAACCATTGTTGAATCTGTCTTTGAGGATATGGATTTATAAGTAACCACTTTTGTGAAAATTTCATATTTAGGTCCTGTTCCAATGATGAAGTTGCTATGTAAATCGTTTTCCTCAAAATGTGAATTTTCAAGGATTATGGAAATGCAAAACCGTTTGCTGTTTCCTGCTTGAAAATTGTTATACCTCACATGGCTTCGTTTAGTAACTTTTAACAGCAATGGAACCATTTATTTTGTGTGTGTCTGTAAAGATACTCTCTGTGTACTTTCAACAGGGACAGAGCTCCTTTCGTGCTTACCTCTGATATGGCATATGTCATTAATGGAGGTGAAAAGCCCACCATTCGTTTCCAGCTGTTTGTGGACCTCTGCTGTCAAGCCTACAACTTGATAAGAAAGCAAACGAACCTCTTTCTTAACCTTCTCTCACTGGTAACAGTCTTTATAGACATTGAATTTTATATTAGAGCCTCAGTATTTTGATAGTTTAAAGAGGATGTTTTATGCTTTTAGAATTAAATTGGCTATAGTCACAAATGTCAAAATGTTAATGCAATATTTTTAGATTACAGCTATAAATCCCCAATGTCTGATTTCACTAATTAAAAAAATACAAAGTCAGGAAAGTGGTGACCCCCAGAGTGGAGAGTAGTAGTGACTGAGGCCTATAAGGGGCACTCTCTGCTGGTGAGTACATTTCTGTCTCTAGATCTAGAATGTTCAGGTGGCAAACATTCATTAATCTGTATACTCAGGATTTCTGTACTTCCTAGAATATATACCACCTCAGTAAAAAGAACAAAATCAACAACAACAAAAAGGTGCCATAATTGTGACTAGAATTGTTATAGCAAACATAATCCTGGGGGGGAGCTCAGGATTTTACCTATTATATTCCATAAATGGACTTTACTTCCAGCAAGTCATGTGACTTCTTAACTTTGTTTCTTATTTTAAGGGTCACTTAAATAGCCAAGACATTAACAGACTCTTCAAGTATATGATAGTTTTTGTTTTCTTAATTCTAAGTACTTGACCAACAGAAATGTTAACATTTTTTTTCCTCCAGATGATTCCTTCAGGATTGCCAGAACTTACAAGTATTCAGGATTTGAAATATGTTAGAGATGCACTTCAGCCCCAAACTACAGATGCTGAAGCTACTATTTTCTTCACTAGGTATGGCATACTTAATTGTGTCAAAAAGTCCTTTGTGACAAAAGACTAGGGATGTAGCTCAAAGGTAGAGTGCTTATCCTCTCCTCTGTAAGGACCTGGTTGTTCATTCACCAGCACTAAAAGAAAAGCAAGTTAATGAAAGTTGTAGCAATGCTTAAAATAATGTTTATTCCTCTCACTCTATATATAAAGTATAATCTCTGTGTTTTTAGTACATGATTTCCACTAGATGAGTCTTTATATAAATATGTTTATAAAAACATATTTATATAAACACGTATTTAGAAAACACGCTTTCTACAGTAATGATAAAGTGCTTTTTTAAAGGTTTCTTTCTGAAACGATTTATTTTTTAAGAGTCTACCATAATAGTTTCTATGAATACCACAACCCAGCAGGAGACTCTTATAAACCAAGGCTGTACATTATTGCTTCATGACAGTATTTGAAGTGCATGTCAGGGAATGGCTAGCATTTGAATGTCACTGTTGCTTTCAATAAAAACAGATCTTGGCAAACATGTTCTAAAGGCCCAGTGACCATGTTCACTGAATTCTGTTGTTATGTCTTCTAGGCAGGAAGCTCACTTTTTTCTCCCTCTCTCTCAGTAGAAATGAGGCATGAAGCACTGGCCCGATCTTTCCTAAAGTCAAGTTTGGCTGAAATGAAGGAAGCTGACTTTTCAGTGCTTCCCAACTTAATCAACCAATTTGGCTGTTTATAGTTTTTATTGTGGTTGTTGTTCCCCTTCATTGGGGCTGGGAACCAAACCCAGGGCTGTGTACTTACAAGCATTTTACTACTGAGCTAAACTCTCAGTCTTTTGGGGTTTTGTTCTAGTCATTGGTTCCCCTAAGTCAAGCAAGTAAAGGACTACCAAACTTCATCTTAGACCTTACTTCTGAGTTTTGTTGTTCCTTTGGTGACCTAAATATAAACTCCTGCCTTCCTTACAAAGTGTTTCTGCAAACACCACCATTTCAAAACTTCCTTTCCTAATTAAGTATGATCATGATTATCTGAGGGAATCTTGCCAGCAAATTCTCCCATGCTGCTTGATAGATTTTTTTTATGTAAATTAGTAACCATCTTTTTAGTAATATATTAATCATCTTCTAGTTCTATAGCTCTTTGGTCTTGGACTCTATATGGCTCAAGAAATCCAAATATTATTTCTTTATGTTGGAGTGAGATGCATTTTAACAGATTTTCTTTGGCCCAAAGAAAAAGAGAGTCCTTGGCAGAGAAAAAAATCTACTTAATACTTTACTTTTTAAGAACATTTTTATTATTTCCTTTGTGTGCGGTGTATGCTGCCTGCTTTACAAGCAGGCAGAAGACAATAATGATAAAGAGTTGGTTCTCTCTTTCTACGTTGTGAGTCTTGGAGATTAGACTTAGATCATCAGGCTTGGTGGCAAATACCCTAACCTGCTGTGTCATCCCCAGAGCCTGTTCTTAGCATTTTAAAAGGAAGTGGTTTTCATCTTTTATTATCTTAAGTTTAGCATATGTTCCATGAAAACTTACTATTAACAAGTTTCTGATTATTTTGTAGGCTGATTGAGTCAAGTTTGGGAAGCATTGCCACAAAGTTTAATTTCTTCATTCATAACCTTGCTCAGCTACGTTTTTCTGGCCTTCCCTCTAATGATGAGCCCATCCTTTCATTCTCACCAAAAACATACTCCTTTAGACAAGACGGCCGGATCAAAGAAGTCTCTGTTTTCACATATCATAAGAAATACAACCCAGATAAACATTACGTAAGTTTGTTCAGTATGTAGATGATCATGTATAAGGTTTCTGTTGTCCTTTATTTTTCACTGACTGCTTGAAGTTCTAAACATTGGTTTTCTTTGTGCTTATTGTGTCCATGAATGGTCCAAAAATAAGTAAATGTACTTAAACATTATGATTTTGAATTTTTTTGTATTGTTAAGTTTACTTAAAAATCACAAGGGCCAAAATACATTCTTTTGGTGTCAAAGTATCATTTTCTTGTTCCTTCCATCTTTTCTTGTTTCAACGGTAAATCTAGCTTGCTATAATAAATTTAACAGTACAATTCAAAAAGTCTTAAGCTCCCAACTGGGCTTTGTTATGCACACCTTAATCCCAGTACTTAGGAGACAAAAGGCAAGCACTTGTCTGTGCTTGAGGCTAGCCTGGTCTACATCCCTAGTTCCAGGACAGCCAAGGCTGCTTAGAGAGAGCTTGTCAAACCAACCAATCGAACAAAAATGTCTGAAGCTCTCATTCTAACTTCTAATACAGTGTCTTACCATTTTTTTTTTTTTATCAAAGCCAAGGCTTTGATTACATATTATGGTTACATAGCATTCATTAAATATACACATAAAGCTTGTTTTTTGTTTTTCTGTGACTGAGTCTTACTATGTATCATGGAACTCTGCATAGACCAGGCTAGCCTTAAACTCAGAGAGAGTCACATGTCTGACTCCCAAATGCTGGGATTAAAGGCTGGTACCAGCTTGCCTTGCCAAACCTTATTTTGAAACAAATACAGGATTTGTATTGCTTTTTCCCACACTCTTTGAGGCTATTATTATTTACCCTTGTGCAGGTTTTTTCCCCTTTTTATTTCATTCAGTCAATCCTAGTTTTTCAGGAATGGTAGCCGTAAGCTATACCACTGAGCTGCACCTCTCTCCTTCGTGCTAATATTTTGTTAGATAATGTTTCTATAGATAGGATTTGTTTTGTTTTGTATTGATGTGTGATGAGTAGTTTTTAGAAAGTCATTTCACTTTTAACCATTCTATTGTGGTTATATTGCCATTGATTTTATAATGGCCTTGGTAAGTATACTGAGTTTTTGCACGCGTATGCCTCTCATTTTCTATGGATGTGCCTGACTCATCTTACAGCAGTATTCAAAGTATTGTAACTTATAGTAGTTGAAATATCCAGTAAAATGTTCCCTTAACTCCTACCCCATAATTTTTTTTACCTTTTTTTCTATTTACTTTCTTTCTTTCTTTTTTTTTTTTTTTTGGTTTGTTTGTGTTTGTTTGTTTGTTTGTTTGTTTTGAGACAGGGTTTCTCTGTGTAGCCCTGGCTGTCCTGGAACTCACTCTGTAGACCAGGCTGGCCTCAAACTCAGAAATCTGCCTGCCTCTGCCTCCCAAGTGCTGGGACTAAAGGTGTGCGCCACCACTGCTCGGCTCTATTTACTTTCTTATTTCTTAAATCCTAAATATTTTTTTTTGTTGGAAATGCACTAAGTATATAATTTTGAGAGGTACATTATATTTAAACATGAAAACAAGTGTTGACTTTCAAATGTTATTTGAATCTTCCAGTAGCTAAGTTCAGTCTCAGAATGCAGTAGTGTGTACTGTAAATACAATGAACTATATTCACTATGTCTTAATAGTGACATATATTACCAAGGTTAAAAGCACATGTACAACGGAGCAGTGGTGGCACACACCTTTAATCCCAGCACTTGGGAGGCAGAGGCAGGCAGATTTCTGAGTTCGAGGACAGCCAGGGCTATACAGAGAAACCCTGTCTTGAACTCTCCCCCCCACCCCCCCAAAAAAGTCACATGCACTATAAATTTTTATATCAGGAAAAAAAATTTCATTATAATGTAATGTGCCTATCATGTGATTTCTTTTCAGATTTACGTGGTTCGAATTCTGAGAGAAGGGCATCTTGAACCATCATTTGTATTCCGGACATTTGATGAGTTTCAGGAACTTCACAATAAGCTCAGTATTATTTTTCCACTTTGGAAATTACCTGGGTATGTTCCTATCCTTGCAAAAATTCATACTTATTTTCATATGTAGGAATAATTTATTTTTACATGTAGGTGAAAAACTGGTTAGCATTTAGTTCCAATTAAAATAATATGTATCTTATATAGAACTGAAGGTAGATAAAGAGCTAGAATTTTATGTTGAGTGAGCATGTGACTAAAACCTAAAGTTAGGCCTGGTAACGCATGTACACAGAAAGCAGGGGCAAGAGGACACTAAAGTTTTTTTTGTTTTTGTTTTTTGTTGTTGTTGTTTTAAATTGTGTATGTGTCTGGTCTGTGTGTGTTTGCCATGTTCGTGCCTGCAGAGGCATTGGATCCCCTGGAGCTGTAGTTATAGTAGCCATTGTGAGCTGACCAGTGTGGGAGCTGGACACTGAACTCAGGTTCTCTTCAAGAGCAGTACATGTTCTTCACTGCTGAGCCATCTTTCTTGACCCTAGTGCTTAGCTTTTTATCTGACTCCTTTTGTAAAACCTTAGATATACTGTACCTTAATGACCAGTAGTTTTCCTTTGCCACATTCTTCTTATACAAGATTTCAAAAACAAGGATCAAAATGGGTATCAAAGTATGTTATTGCTGTGTGTGGATCTCTATGAGTTCAAGGACAGCCAGGGATATACAGTGAGAACTTGTCTCAAAAGATATATAAAGTTTGGCTTACGTGGTAGTGGTTCCACATACCTTTAACCCCAGGACTCGGGAGGCAGAGAAGCAGACTGATCTCTGTAAGTTTGAGGCCAGCTTTGGTCTAGGGAGAGAGTTCCAGGAGAAGCCCTGTCTTGAAAAACAATACATGCATGCATGCATACATACATACATATGTTACTGTCTACACTCATTTTTCAGAGTTGAGATGGTTTTGGCACCTGATTTAGGGCCTGTGTCATTGTTTGTTTATCTTCTTTTATGATTATTGAGTAGCTAGATTGTTTTAGAAATAAGATTGGGTAAAATATTTGTGAATGATTAAAGCTGAGACCAAATAACAGGAAATTAATAACAAAAACAGGAAACTAGTAACACATCTTTCTCCTTCCCCAACTCTCTTCCCCAGGGGTTGTTGAGATAGGGTCTCATATAGCCAAGGTTTGCCTGAAACTTACTATATAGCTGAGACTATCCTCTATCTCCTAATCTACCTGTCTCTACCTCCCAAGTGGTCCTGGGATTACAGACATGTGCCACCATGCCCAGCTAACACATGCATCATGATGCGAGACTTATATAAGGAAAATGAGTATTTAAAAGTAGCTTATCCCCAGTCCTTTGAATGATACAGGCAAAACCATAACAAAGTATATTTCTAAGTAAGAGCTGTTCGTGAGTCTACAAATGCTTTCTGATGAAATCATTTAAATCCTGTTTGTTTTTGTTTTTCTTTTGTAGCTTTCCTAATAGGATGGTTCTTGGAAGAACACACATAAAAGATGTAGCAGCCAAGAGGAAAATTGAGTTAAACAGTTATTTGCAGAGTTTGATGAATGCATCAACAGATGTAGCAGAGGTGACCTTCCAATCTAAAGTAAATATAACATCGTCTACTTTGTGTTATGTAATAGTTAACTAATGGGCCTTTTTTTCTCTTCAATCTTAGTGTGATCTTGTTTGTACTTTTTTCCACCCCTTACTTCGTGATGAGAAAGCTGAAGGAATAGCCAAGTCTGCAGGTGAGCTTTTCCCTCCTGATTGACGATTCATGAGTTTTATGATGGGATGGAGATCGATGTGTGTAAGTGCAATGTGTGTGGAGGCCGGAAATCTGCTTTGGGTGACAGTCTTCAGTGTCTACCTTGGATTTTCTTTCTTTTTTTTTTTTAAAGATTTTATGTGCATGAGTATTTTGCCTAAATGTATATATGTATATCATATACATGCCTGCAGAGGTCAGAAGAAGGGATTGCATCTCCGGGAACTAGAATTATGGGTGATTGTAAGCCATTATGGGAGTGCTAGGAATAGTGCTGGTTTTCTGTAAGAGCAACAAACTCTCTGCCTCTGTCTGTCTGTCTCCTTCCCTCTTTTTCCAGGGAAGTCTTTCTAAGCCAGTCTATTAGCATTCCTAATAATCACATGCAATTACCAAAAAAAGTACAAATTAGTGGCATATGAGATTTACTTTTCCTATCTGCTTCCTCTCTCCCTGCCCTTATGCAACAGTTCTTTTGCTGAAGTGTGAGCCATTTCAGGCACATTGAGATAAAGAGGAAAGTATTTCTGCTTTCAGGTGCAGGTCCCTTCAGCCCTACTGTAGGCCAAATAGGAGGAGCAGTGAAGTTATCTGTTTCTTACCGAAATGGCACCCTCTTCATCATGGTGATGCACATCAAAGATCTTGTGAGTGATGACAAGTGATGACTATAGAGTAAATTTGTACCTCGGTAGGAAGCACTACTGTTAAGAGACTGCTTGTCTTTATAGGTGACTGAAGATGGGGCTGACCCAAATCCATATGTCAAAACATACCTGCTTCCAGATACCCACAAAACATCAAAACGTAAAACCAAAATTTCACGTAAAACTAGGAACCCAACATTCAATGAAATGGTAAGCTAAGCTTCATTTCTAAGAACTTCTAAGAGTAGTTGTTTTGAGATTCTTTTATTTCTGTAAGGTTTACTTATTTTGATGTGTATTTAGTGTTTTGCTTCCTTGTATGTAAGTGCAGTGGATGTGTGCGTGGAACCCACAGAGGCCAGAAGAGGGTGCTGGTTTCTCTGGAATTAGAGTTAGAGGCGGATTAGAATTGAACCCAGGTCCACCTGAAGAGCAGCCTGTGCTTTTAACTGCTGAGCTGTCTCTGGCCCTTCCTTAAATGTGTTTCTCTTAGCTCTTCTAAAAAAAAAAAATGTGTGAACTGAGTATAACCTTTACTGAGATACTCGTGGCCAACCAGCAGATCAGTAATTAAACAAGTTAAAACCTGCTAGAATTCCCCCATCTTGCTCACTTAACTATTTTTTAGGTAGACATATTATTTATGTACCTTAGCATTTTATCCACACAAAAGAGTGTCTGGTCAGAGATCTTAAGACAACTTGGACTTTTGTCAAGCTTATAGCCAAGCATGAGACTAAAGAAATGGTTCAGCACTTACAAGCACTTATTCTTTCAGAGGACCAGAGTTCAGTCCCCAGCATCTACATCAAGGGACTTAATACTGTCTTTGACTCCAGTTCTAGGGGATCTGACACCATCTTCTGGCATCCATCTTCTGGCTTCCTCAGGCACTTACAGATGTTTGAATGACGTATACATGAATTTTTTTTAAAAATTTAATAAAATTTGAAGAGAAAAAAGCCAGATGGGGTGGTAAATTCCTGTACTCGTAGCTCTTTAGAGGGTTGAAGCGGGAAGATTATAATGTGAAATGAAGGTCAGCCTGGACTCTCTATATAGAAGACCCCTGTCTGTGTCTCTCTCCCCCACCCCTCTCTATCCTCCTCCTCTCTCTCACTCACAAACACCTACCTATAGAAGAGCATTCACTCTTTAAATGTACATGTAGTGTTTACCAAAGAACACTTGGTGTTACTCTTGTAAAATAGCAGTGGGGTTTTTAGTGGATTTTCCACTAGATAATTCACTAGTTAATGTTACACTGTCAAGACAGTGAACTGTAAGCAAGTGTCTGTGTGGTTATTTTAGTCAGATAATAAGACAGACTATATTAAAGAAATGTTTCTCAGAACTTACTGTGAAGCTCTGTGGAAAAGGGAAAAAATTGAGTGTTGTGATGAAGATTTGAAGTAGCAGTAGCTTCGAGCACTGCAGATCTGCTGCAAACTGTACTTTCACTGGGTTTGTATCTCCTTGTGACTAAGAAGTTCACTTCCTGCTATATAGCATTTAAAGAACAAAAGAAAACAATGAAATTTTAATGTTTTTTGCAAAATAATTTAAACTTATGTTATCCAACTTGCTTTCCTTTCATCCTCTTTTTTTCTCCAACGATTAGGTCACCTTAAGGTAATCATCAGGTAATCTCTTTCCCTTCCCCATCACTTCCATCTGACAGAAACCATGTCTGAAAGTTTGGGGATCTGTTTTGTTTTTTGGCTATGATTGGCCGTGCTTTATTCAGTCTCTGCATTAAACACTGACAGGACTGATAGTTCAATCCAAGACTCCAGAAGTTAAAAACATGTTTCTGATGCACTGAGAAAAGCCCTGCTGCTGTAGTTAGGGCCATTCATTGGGTCACTCTTTGACTGATGTCTTATATTTTGTTGAAAAGATTCCAAGAAACCAAACCTTATCCTTTTTTTCCCCCTTCTAGCTTGTATATAGTGGATACAGCAAAGAAACTCTGAGGCAGAGAGAACTTCAACTGAGTGTACTCAGTGCAGAATCTCTGCGGGAAAATTTCTTCTTGGGTGGAGTAACCCTGCCACTGAAAGATTTCAACTTGAGCAAAGAGACAGTTAAGTGGTATCAGCTGACTGCAGCAACATACCTATAAACCGCCAACTTCTGAGCTTTGGAAACAAGGAGTAATAAATGTATGCACATGTGTGTATATACATACTTGGGAACTTTGTATAATTTCATACTTGGGCAGAAATTATAAACTTAACATGTTGGACCAACTGTCAGTCACATAACTTAACTTTTATATAGTTTGGGAAGCCATTGCTATTTCAAAGTCATTTTGTTGAATGCTACCAATCCCAAGCTTAATACATACTAAGTCCTGAAAAAGATTTTGACATAATACTATGTCATTTCGGCCACCTTGTACTCTTTCTACACAGACACAGCAAATTGTTTGTTATGCACCTCACAGCCTTTACCACTGTGTATGTTCACAGACACCAAAGGAAAGATGCAGCTGCTACTCAACAGGCTGAAAAGCAAAGCACAAATAGAGGTCAGAATGCTAAGAACTAGGAAAATACCATTTTTATTCATTGTAAAGCCTTTTCAGAGTAAGTGCCAGTCACTGAAGTTGTAAATAATGGTGCCTTACTTAACTCCATGCTTCACTGGCACTTCATTTCTGATTAAAGAGCAAGTAGTTTTCATTCATTTTCACCTTACTGAGGACAAAATGTCATGTACATTTACTAATGGTTTCCCTACAAAAAATACTATTTTCTCTACTTCTGATTGTGAGTTTGTTATTTTCACTATTAAGCTATTTGACTTAGTGTTTATTGCCCAGTAACTGAATGAGATTCATTGATATAGTTGTATTCTAAATTCTATCATTCCATTATAACTTGTAAGGATGTGAATTGAAATTTGAGTTTCACTTCCATGTATTTATACTTTACTCCCTCATTAAACAAATGGAAGTTGTTTGGTAAGATGCCCAGGCAAGATAAGGGGCTAGGGTCCTGACTGAATTTTAATTTAGACATTTATGGAAGGTGTTGTGTAAACTGTCCTGTATGTAAACATTGTACATTCACATGAAAAAATTATTTTCTGTAATACAATGAAATTGACAATTTCAAGAGGGAAGTTTGAAGTTACTATGGAGTAGCCATTAAAAATAAGGTTCATTTTTGCCTGGCAGTGGTGGCACACGCCTTTAATCCCAGCACTTGGGAGGCAGAGGCAGGTGGATTTCTGAGTTCGAGGCCAGCCTGGTCTACAGAGTGAGTTCCAGGACAGCCAGGGCTACACAGAGAAACCCTGTCTCAAAAAAACCAAAAATAAATAAATAAGGTTCATTTTTATTTCCTATTTCAGATATAATTTTGTTTAGTTTTGGTAAACATGTATATATAATACATTTCTTGGTTAGAAGTTCAAATATTTTTAGAATGGTAATAGAGATGTAGCAAATTTGGTAGTTAAGAGAAAACTGAAACTACTTAATGAAGAGTACCAAGAGAGGACAATCTGATTCAGTTTGCCCGAATAAAATTTTTATGAAGTGTACAAAGTGATTAACAGAAATGATGATGCTTACAGAGTTAAATTAAGAGTTAAGGGTGTTATCATTGGAATACATTTTTAATAAATCAAAACTTGAAATATTTGGTGCCTAACACTATGGTCCATTTGTAGGGAAACCTATATATGAGTATGGTATGTGAATGTTTTTATATTAAAGTGTGTTGTCTACTTGATAATTAAAATGAAGATCAAAGCATCATTGTTTGCTTTTCCCACAATTAACATTTCCTTAAATTGTTTTGCAGATGTAAGTAGCACTAGAATTTTTTTTTCTTTTGAGAGAGACCTAATTCCATTCCATGAGTCACCTAGCTATTTAAAAAAAAAAATGCTGTTTGTAAAAGGTGATTATTGACTGAACTTGTGGACCTTTTTGTGATCCATTACGGTGTATCTTAGCAGAAACAGAACTAGAAAATGTAATGTCACTTTTCAGTGACAAGAAATCTGATTAATATCTAAAAGTATATATTATCATTAATACTGTACAGTTAACAAGAATTCAGAAGGTAATATTATCTCTTAATTTAACTCAATTTGTGCCTTCTTTGGTTATTAGAATACATATATTTTAATATAAGTTATTTCTTTGTAAAATGCTAATCTTCAGCCCATACCAAAAAAACAGTTTTAGGGAGGAGAAAGTAGCCTCTTTGCACTACAACTGCAGCCAGTTATAATCAGCTGGCTTTCTAAAAGTTTTTTAACAGTTACCTTAAAATAAATCTGAAAAACAAAACTCTAAACAGGCCAAGACACTAATTTTTATGTATATCATATTTATAACTACCTTCATCAAGTAAAAATAATTTTGCTACATACAAGTCCTGTGCCAGAATTCTTTGTTCTTGCCAGTGCTCTAGGATCTGAAGATGATGGTTTATCCCAAGAACCTGTTTTCTCTGAGGAATCCAATGAGAATTGGCACCAGTGCTTTTTATTACTGTGTTAATGTGAGTCATTAAAGCATGTGTATCTTTTTTACTTTTTTTTTTCAAATTAAAGTTGTATATAAAGTTCAAAATCTTGCCTTAAATTGTTTAATTCTTTCTAAGACTCGTGAATTGTAACATTTAAAAAATTCACTTTTGATAACTCAGATTTTTAAAAAACACTGAAGCCCTGCTATTATGATACAATGTACTTATATGCTGTTCACTAGCAATGCAAATATGGATGTGATTACTAGTGTCACCTGTAAGAGCAAAATGCTTTAATTATATCAGCCTAATGAGTTAAGATGTATAATATTTGTATTAATACTTGGAATATATTCAATGAATTGAATGTGACTTCATAACTATACTACAATTATATTAAAATATTTCTGAAATAAAAACTCAGCTGTCATTTTCTTCTTGATTCAATATTTTGGTTCCAGACTTTAATAATATAGTTATTGCATCTTACCTAGGAGTTTGTAAAGCTTAGTAATCCTAAATTTGAATGTGATTCTTTGAAGGTCTTGATGTTGTCTGCTACAGCCTGTCACTTCCTGAGATGTGAATTCATTGCTATGGCTCCTGGACTGTGAACATTCACTTACCGAGTTCTAGCATGCTTCACAGAACTGAAGAGTGACAATTACACCATACTTTATTCTGGATTATGAGCACAGACTGGCTCTCTAACCTAATAATGCCAAAAAAAAAAAAAAAACCCCAAAAAACAGTATAAAGACCCTAAAAGGAAAATTAAAGCCAAATCCTCATGCTGCCCACCATCCTTTGGCTCCCAAACATCTTCAGAGATGGCTTCTGTAAGCTTATCCTTTGAGATAACTGAACCCTTGCCTGAGTCCCAAGCTGTTTGGGGATACTAAAGTTCAAACTATTGCAGGTAGGAGGCTAGAGAGATGGCTCAGTGGCTACAGTGACTTTCTGTTGTTGTAGAGGACTAGAGTTGGGTTCCCAGTACAAAGGTACAAGTGCGCCTGGGCAGTGGTGGCGCACTTGGGAGGCAGAGGCAGGCAGATTTCTGAGTTCGAGGCCAGCCTGGTCTACAGAGTGAGTTCCAGGACAGCCAGAACTACACAGAGAAACCCTGTCTCGGGGAGGGAAAAAAACAAAACAAAACAAAAACAAAGGTACAAGTGCTTATGACTCTAGCTCTTGGGGGCCCAATATTGTCTTGGTCTCTGTGGGAACTGCACTCAGCTTGCACAGCCATATATAAAGTAATAAAAAAAAAGTGGGGGTGGATGGCTGGAGAGATGGCTGAGGTGTTAAGAGCACTTACTAATCTTGCAGAGAACTTGGTTTCAGTTTCAAGCACCTATGTAGCGACTAAGAATTTTCTCTAACTCTAGTTCCAAAGTATCTGATACCCTCTACTGGCCTCCATGAGCACTGCAGGTACTGTGATGCAAAGATTACTAGTTTGACACACACACACACACAAGCTCATACACATTTTTAAAAGTATATATATATTTTTCCAGATAGACAACATGTTACTATGTATAGGATCAGTAATGTGCCTGGGATGGATAGAAAAAAGGACAGAGTGGTAGGACATGAGGCCAGGGACTTGGGTTTTATTTCAAATACATAGAGAAAGTATAAGAGAGCCCCTGAGATGTCTCGGTAGCCAAAAGTGCATGCTGTTTGCTGACAGCCCTAGTTTGATATTCAAAGCCAGGTAAAGGTGAAAGGGCTCTACAAGATTATCCTCTTACCCCATACTCACATATTAAGTCTTTAAAAAAAAATTATATCTGACCACTAGGTGGACAATGGATTGAAAACAGTGGGACGGACACCACTTAAGCGCCTGAGAGATGATGGATAGGATTGGGGTGCCCGTGGAAACAATGAAGTATTTGCATGATAGATTTCTGTGGTGCGATGTGTTGGGAGTGACTCGTGGAAATGAGAAAGAATAAGGAACCTTGAATTTGTATTCGGGCAAATGTGTTAAAGTGAAATGAAAGATTCTCACTTAGGGATTGCAAATTGAAGCCAAGCTTGATGTACTGGGCTAAAAGTATGAATCTGGTTAATTAATCAAATACAACTGCCAGGAAAAAAAAATACAAATCTGGTTCAAGTTCCCAATGTTTTGGAAAACGTTATTCAACTAGTGATGGGTTAAAAGAACGCAGCTGGGCATGATGGCTCAAGCCTTTCATCATCTCAGCTTTTGGGTTTTCTTTTTTTGAGGCAGAGGCAGAAACACATCTGTGTGTTTGAGGCTAGTAGCGAGTTCCTGGACAACCGGAGCCACATTAAGATATCCTATCTCAAAACACAACAAAAAAGAAATATGGATCAGTGTTTCAGTACTGTTTTAAACCTTGTCACTTGTCAACATCTGAGTTTCTTCTTTCTTGGGTCCATGCTTTTGTTGTTCTCCGTTGCATTTATAAAAACTGTTCTATTCACCCATTCTTGGAACGCAATGTAGTGAACCTGCACTAGGTCATCCTTAAAAGATCAACTCCTCATCTTCTCGAAACTTCTTTCACTAGTTCCCAACTCTTCTCCGTAGGGGGCCTGCGGTTCCGCGCTACGCCCTGTGTAGAAAAGGCGCGCAGGCAGGGAAGGACAGATCGGGGCGGGGCTCGGAAACCGAGAATTAAGGATCTAGACTGAAACGTTGGCTGCACAGAGGCACCGCGCTCATCCTGCAGCGCACGAGTTGGGGGAGAAGAGGGAGGCCTGACGAATCACCCGAACCTGCAGCCTAAATTATCCAAATCCTTCAGCCAAGGTCTCGAACCCGCCAAAGGTTCCCTCAAACGCGACGTCCGAATAGATGTTAAGCCTGCCCACTCTAGTTAAGAATAACAGCTGGGATAATGTCCCTGGGCGTAGCGGCTCAACTAAAGAATGGGGGCGTGACGACTCGCCGCAATGCCTGCTGGGATGCGTAGTCGCGCGTGCTCCGGTGGCCACACTGCGTAGCCCCGCCCCGCGTGAGAGGAAGTGCTGCTTGACGTCACTTCCTTTGCGGCTGACTTCCTGCGCCGTTTCCTACCTCGTTCTCTCTTTGCTGCCAGACCTCCGCCATCATGGGTCGCATGCACGCTCCCGGGTGAGCCCGCGGCGCCAACCTAGGTTGCGGGACTGGGGCGCGGGGCTGGGAGAGGAGGGTGCAGACTGCGGGTCAAGGGACAGTGGGGCTGCTTGGGGCGCGGGCCGCCGCTTTACTGCCTATGCTTATGTTCTCAGGAAGGGCCTGTCCCAGTCGGCGCTGCCCTACCGCCGTAGCGTCCCCACGGTGAGTAGAGGCTGAGGGTTGGAGGGCGGCGTGGGAAGCTATCTGCGCGTGAGGATGGGGCCCGAGGTGTGGAAGGTTGCCGCCGTGCTTTGTCATCCTAAGGCCCATTTCTGTTCCATCTACAGTGGCTGAAGTTGACGTCTGACGACGTGAAGGAACAGATTTACAAATTGGCCAAGAAAGGCCTGACTCCCTCCCAAATAGGTGAGTGTCGTTGGAATCTCTTCCTTCTGCTCTCGTGTGATCTGGGAAAAACAAATGTGTCTAATCCATGTGTTAAGAGTTTCATCCTGCTTCCACAGCTGAGCAAGGACCGTCTGGAATTGAGTCACATCTAACTGCTGTGACTTTGTACAAATGGGAAATAACTTGTTTCTGTTAACATGGTTCTGGAGCCTATGATAACTGCTTATAGGAAGAAATACCCTCGTTAGGCCATAAAGTACGATAGAAATATGCAGAAAAAAATCACTTGAAATGAACTCAGCTGATCTGAAGTAATTTGAGGTTTAAAAGTAACAACATTCAGTTTTAAAGGTACCAATAAGTGCTCTTAGTTAACACTAAGTATAAAGGTAGAGATCATTGGTTCCTTTGGTCAGATCTGTTCTGGCAGGCTCACTGTGATGATGATGTTCCAACATTCGCAGTTTCCACCAGAAGGACTTTCCATGTTGGGTAGACCTTCCTTGGATGTCTGAGTGAGCTGGAAATTTGGAGAGTTTTGCTGTTGGGGATTTATCACATGCTCAAGGTTTTGTGTGTGCGCGCGCCCATGTGTCTGTGTTGAAAATTAGGTTTCTCTTTTCAGGTGTGATCCTGAGGGACTCACATGGTGTGGCGCAGGTCCGCTTTGTGACAGGAAATAAAATCTTGAGAATCCTTAAGTCCAAAGGCCTTGCCCCTGATCTCCCTGAGGATCTCTACCATTTGATTAAGAAAGCAGTTGCTGTCCGAAAGCACCTTGAGAGGAACAGAAAGGTAAGCAAGACAGCACACCTGGTATTGTGTAGACACTTGTACTGGTCTTCCGAGGGCAAAATGTATTTGAGTTGGGTTCTCTCAGGTGATTCTGGGTACTGACTAGTCGTCCACATGGTAGTTTCCTTGAAATAGGTGGTTTGGTTTTTAGCTCCCCTGGACATCTAGTTGGTCTCAGATGCTGGGGTTCTTTTGTAGGTTTGTGACCATGGTACTTATTCTAGGAGCTTAGATTGCTTCTGTGGGTTTGGTGATGCATGCCCTTAATCTCTTGAGTTTGAAGTCAGCCTGGTCTTATAAGACAGCCAAGGCTATATGTAATAAGAAAATGCCTTAAGAACTTAACCTAACCATAGAAGGTATTTAGTTACTTTACTTGGTGGTTTTCTTAGATCTCTTTTATTTTTAGGATAAGGATGCTAAGTTCCGCCTGATTCTGATAGAGAGCAGAATTCACCGGCTGGCTCGATACTACAAGACTAAGCGGGTGCTCCCGCCCAATTGGAAATAGTAAGTATATAGGATTTTTGTGTGTGTTGGCAAATCGGCTAGATAGTAAATAATGGGTGGTGGTCGGCATTTTGCCTTTCTCGGTCCTGTGGTTAAGTGCCATTTTGGTTCATCTCTGTCATAGTAGTGGGAAAGCTTGCTTGGGTGATATATAATCAAAGGACAGTGCTCAATCAAAATGTTATATAGAGGCAAGCAGGTCTCTGAGCTTGAGGCTCGCCTGGTCTACATAGTAACTTCCAGGACAGCCAGAGCTATATGTAGTGAGATCTGGATTGGCTGGTTCGTTGGTTGATTGGTTGGTTGGTTTATGGTGTTAGGGGTTTTGTTGTGGGGGGGGGGAGTGGTTTGGGTTTTTATGTTCTTTTTTTTTTTTTTCTAAAAGAAGAGAGTCATGTTGGCAGACTCTGGTTAAGCCATGAATGAACCTCCCAAACCCCCTTTTGTTTCGTGAACTGCTCACTATGATGATTGTACAAACATTGACAGTTTATGCCATATAGCTATTTCCTTGTTTTGGCCAGTTATATTTGGCCTTAGATGTCTGGCTGAGAATTGCCATTCATCCTCATGTTTAAACCGATGGACTTCTGGGTTCTCGCTCAGTTTGGTACATTGTATGTAGTTGGGTATTGTAG